ATGAAAATTTCCGCGGGAGCCGCAAACGGACGATGCCGGCGACGGACAATAACAAATTTTGGATTTTTTTGGGGAGGGGGAGCTCCGACTTAGCCGGGACACTTTGGCGGCCGGCGCGCGCAAGTCGACGAGGCTTGTCAGGACAAGACCCGGTCACGTGGTCGATTTGGGCGAGGTACAAGCCTCCGCAATGGCCGTGCCGGAACGACGGCGGGCCGGTGATCGTAAACCGCTTGACGGCCGACCCGACGGACAGGGTCCCGGCTCGCCGATGGCCGCAGAAAACGCGTAAACAATATGGCCGAACCGGGCGCGCGCGCGCGCGCGCGAACCCGTTGCACAACAGCGGCGGCAACGCGCCGTATCGACGGGGCGCCGCCGATATATTTACCTTGTCGCACAGGAACTTCACTTGGCTCTCGGTCAACTGTTTGCACTCGTTCAGCTGCTCAATCCATTGGTCTAGTTCCTTCAGGGACGTTTTATCGTCCATAATACGAACGGAAAACGTCGGCGAACGAAAATTAACCGATTCGCTTCTCAGGGTAACATGTAAAAATTAATAAAACGGAGTTCGCGATCGGTGTACTGCGGTCCGGACGGAAATCACAACACAAATGAAATGACAGGTCGGGCGAAGGGTGGTGTCGACGGCGCTGGGAGGGGGCACCCGATGATTATTTTTGTTTTCTTTTTTTCCCCCTTTTTTACATTTGTATCGGCCCGACTCACCGGTGCTGCCAACGCGATAACCGCAAGCAGTGCGTGCAACGCCACTGGTCTGGGCCTAACGCCGCCGCCCACAGACCACGGCCGCAACGGTTTTGCCCCGTCAACGATAACTGTCCTCCGAACGTCCGATATAAATTATTATCGCAGAATAAAACTATTATTATTAATTTTTTAATTGTGATTTACAAGATATCATTTATTTATTTTATTTTACGTTTTTACTAATCTACGACCCAACGGCCATGGACTGTTTTATTGAGCGGTAGTCCGTAGCACAGTTGTATAACAACAATAATGGTAGAGAAAATTACCGTAAACCATAGAACACCTGAACACGGCTGTTAGTGATGTGTAAATATTGTTACGTAGCGCTAACGCACGTCTTCGCTAGTACGTCGTACGCAGGATGACATATTGACTTTCCACTCGTCATAAATGTATAATATGTGCATTATAATATACTTGTTATTTATTAGTGCACCTCTTGGATCATAATATTTGGTATTGATTTAACACTGTGGCTCCACCGTCCACAGTTAAAGATCTAAGGTGTAACTGTCAACTATTTTTTCTTGACTTCTTGTTCGTTGACCGACTGACAGACGCGTCGCGCACATGCAGGTGATGCCACTGCGACGTTTTGTTTGTATACAAACCAAAAGTATTTCAGTAGTCCGGATGGCTATTCTACAATAAATTTATATATACATATATGTGTATACTATGTTGTGCTATCGTTAATCATTACTCGTTTATCCACTTTTCTACGATAAGTAATTAATAAATAGGTCAATAATTTTTATTACTCTATGGTTATTGGGTATTGCGACGATAACGTATTAAATTTGATATCAATACATTTGCACTTTTTTTTTTTATATAGAGAAATGATAACCGACGCTGTTGCTTTTACTTATTCTATACAATCCATGATGCCCACTGACCGGATTCATATTTACTAATTAGGTAGTGATATTAATCACGTAATGATTAAGAGTATTTAGACGGTCAACTGGTAGATAATCCTATGTACGATACATTTTCGTGTCCATTAATTTTAATACTATATGAAAAAATAATTCTGATTTTTTTATTTTAATGACAGATTTATATATTTTATAATATTATTATAATTTATTAGTTATTACATTCTAATAAGACATCGTCTTTTATTCACAACTATAGTTTTTTAATTCCTTGGCGTTTATTTTTTACCTACTTATATTTTTAAAACCTTCTAATTATAAAATGTTCATTTTTTATAGGTAAGACTTGCCAATTTCACCCAATTTTTCTCATAAGTAGTCCTTACTGAAACCTAAAAATCTAATGAATATATAAGCACGTTAGGTTTTCAACGTTTATCACCTATTATATTATACTTTACCCGATGACATTTTCAAAATATTTTAATTCATTTTAAGCTACTACCTATTAATACCATCAGCGACAAACCCAATCACTACATCGTTTTGCAGTAAATTGGTATTTATTTAAAAGCTAATAACAATAATACATAGGTATAGCCGTATAGGTACCTACTGTTTTAATAAATACCATGATTACTACAGAATAATTCAATCTACCATAAAACTTATAGTAAAAACAAATAACTATAAACTATAATAGCGATATAAATATGTATATAATAAAATATTCCTAAAAATAAAAGCTGACAGATTGTATCCGGCATCCGGTCAGAATCCTTTTTCATGTGCAATGATTTATCATTATTTATTGAACTCAGATTTAATTCATCATTTTACAGTGAACTATTGAATAACGAGGAACACTCAACTGCACCACTATACAGCAAAATAAGTTTCCTGGATTTTTAGTATATAAATCAAATAATGGATTAGCGTAATATTCTCATATATCTAATAATATTTATCTATTTAAATTAATTTTAAATTTGAGTTATTTTTTGTATTATTTACATTGCTATACATGTAGTCATAATAAAGGTAGAATAGTTGTAAGTACCAATATATATATATATGTATAGTTGTCAGTATTTCAATACCTATGCCTCGTTTACCTATATATAATACCTACGTTATATATTTTCATAAAATATGTACAATTTATCGACTATCACTTGTGGTCCGGTTTAAGGGTGTGGCTGGGTGGGCTATGAATTTCGAACCCACTCATTTAAGAAGTGCCCACCAGTACCTGAAATGGATAATTTATACCATTATGAATTGTATTACATTTTTTAAAAACTTATCGAATAAGTATATCTTATTACTTGTATGTATATTATATAATAAATTACCTACTATAAATAAGTATTATTTCTTATTGTTATATAATCTTTAAAAAAAACTTTTGACCTTAAAACAATCTTAATGAAAATTTGATGGTCACTCTTTAGTCTCTAAAAATCGATTTTTAATGCGTAGAAGAAGTTAGGCCACTCAGTAACTGAGAGATCTTTATGTCTATAGGTAATAATATTTACAATAAAATGATAAATGTGCACAATTTATATTATATTCACATATCACATATTATATAGATGAGGCTCATATCAGAATCCCTTACATTAATATTTACATAATTTCTATTTAGTATTATGCTATTATAATTTTTAACTCGATGCCTTTACATTTTATAACATAATGAGATTACAGTGGGAACAGGTTTCTCCCGTGAATTTTTTTTTCGGTTAGTAAGTCCCATGACCCATATAATCTATAAAAATGTCGAACAAATATTGGAAACTTATAAAACAAACAATAAATGATAAATGTATAGATGGTTAGAAATAAACTTAATTCTAAAAAAGTGCTTTAATGCAATATACATGAAATAATGTTTTTTAGAAACAGCTTAAAAATATAATATTACTGTTTTTATTAATGGTTCATATTCATAAAAAAAGTAGTTGAGGGAGGGTATAGGGTATAGTTGAGGCTTGATGGTAATATTAGCTATAGTCTATAGTATAGAGTATAGACTATAGCTAACAGGGTTTTTTTTAACGATTTTTTCTCACTGCACAAACATATTCCTTCTCTTGAAATTGTTGGATTTGTCTACTCAGACCAGACTTTCGGACTGTTATCACTTACCCGTTGAACTGCTATAATACAACTGTCTATTGTATACTGTACCTACTACCTACATTTTTAATAATATTTTTGTGAATATGTTATGTAATAATACTTACTAAGTAAAATGTACTTGTAATAGGTAATTTGTAATAATAATTGTTTATAAAAATAAAAACAATTAATTAACTAGGTAACTTCTTTTTAATTTTAAACTTTTACATCAAAAAATATTAACAATTTTTAATTTTAAAACTTTTTTTTTTTTTATCAATCCGCTGGCTGTATTAGGTTCGGTCTCTACCTCAGTATCACTCTCAGAACTTACTGGATCCGCTTCTTGAAATATACCCTTAAAGTAGTTCTGTGACTTTCCTTTTGGTCTATTAGTGTTCCTTCTTTCCTTCATTTTCATAAAATGTAAAACTGCTTTTCTTACATCCCAATTAATTAATGCTGGCATATTGTAGTGAATATATAAATAATAATTTTCTGTTGAGACTATCATTCTTGCTCTTTCAGACGTTTTTAGTTTGTTACTAGCACTTATTAACCTTTCCACATCCGCAGATGATGGTTTTGCAGCTATTATTCTTGCTAATGCGATTTTCAAGTTACAATATTCATTAGAAGTACATAATAGTTTAAGTAAATCTGATGGTTTCATGTTTCTATACTTTATAATATTCTCAGACATTAAAAGCTCTTGGTACTCTTGATTGAAGAGCTGTAAATCTAAATCATAACATAATATTTTATGAACTTGTTCAATGTTTGATTGTTGTGACAGTTCGACAAATGGTTTTAAAATATTTATTGTGTCTATATCTTGTATAAATCTTTGAGATAAAAATTCCATTAAACTTTCTCTAATTTCATTAATAATTGCTTGTTTATCTCTTTTGTCTGTCACATATTTATTGTGTTGTTTAGTGCGCCGTTCAGTTGTATGAAGTTTAATACATTTTAAGTATAGTTCTTCTTTTCTATTTTCTATTTGTAGTTCTAAATTATACAACCAACCACCTAATAGATTTTGAGTTTTTAATAAATCTATTTGGTCTAGTACATTTTTAGTTAATTTATCCATATCGGTTATTGTAAGACTATCTGACTGCAATTTTTTTTGGTAATTTGAAAATAAAAACAACAAATCTGCAGTAAATGCAATTATATATATATTATCATAGTTGGTCAAAAAATTTTTAAATCCTATGGATGACTTTTCTGTTGATTTCATAAAATATAAAACCAACACATTCCAAGACACTAATATTGAATTCAAAAGATCATAAGTGAACTCACTCTACCTTACTTCAAACAATTTAGGTAATCTCATTAGGCTTAATTTTTTTTCTTCGGCAATACTTTTAAGTTCACGTGTACGAAGTCCTGATGTATGGAAAAATGAACTTATTGCAACTAATTCAATAACAATATGTTTTAATTCTCTAACACTTTCTGACACAGACTTCCATGCCAAGTTAGACCGATGAGCTGCACACCATATGGTCATTAAAGGAGGTATTGATGTCTCAGCCTCAGTATTTTCATCAGCACTCACATGACGCATTTGTTTTAGTAATGCCCATAATCCATTTTTTTCCCCTGTATTACATTTGGCTCCATCGGTCACAATAGATGAAGTTTTTAAAATAATTTTTTTGAAGCTACCCTCACCAAATAGTTTGTCACATCCATCTTCAATTGCTCTAATCATGCCTTTAACCCCACGCTCTTTTGGTTCATCTGCACCTAAAAATAGTAATTCTGCACTACCATCGTTGTTAATTATTTTAACTAAAACATAAATTTTATCAACCTGCATCCGATCTACACTTCCGTCACATCTTAAGGAAATAGCCAAAGTTGTATTTAAAATTGTATCGATGACTCTTGATTTATCAGTATTTGCAATACATTCTAAAAAATTACGGTGACCATTCGGGGATAAGTATTGTAAATCTGTATTGTTCATTTCAAATTCATTTGAATTCATTTGAAAATTAGATGCATACCTAGATACTACTACACGCCCGGGAAAGGAATATCCTGACAATGTCAATTTTTTAGCATCATTATACACATGTATCATACAGCTACCTATTTTGGAAGCAAGATCATTATTAGCTTTTGATACAGCCAAACCAATGGCACTGGATTTGTCTTTAAGGACTTCACTGCTACTTAATGATGACAAACGATGTGCTCTAGTACATAAAATATGACCCTCAGATAACAAATGTTTTTTTTTTACATCTTCTCGATAAATTGTACCACATATTTGAGCAATGGCTGGAACCGTTTTAGAATATATTTTGTTTATATTTGGATGTTTTGAACAAGGGATACATGTTATATAATGTCTACCATTTCTATGACTATAATGAAAAACATCAGTGTCTCCATATACTTTACTTATATTCAACGGTTTAATCGGTTTAGATGTAGACGTAGATGGAGATGGTTCATCGATATTTATGTGTGATGAAGTGACTGGGCTATTATTTTCAACAGATGTAGTAGTTGCAGCTGGAGATTTATCTCTTTTTAACCATGACTGAAGCATTTTGTACTCGAACAGATTGACAAAATAACATAGGTCATGCAAAAATAAAAAACCAAGTTTAGAACATAAATATTCACAAATTTCCAATTATATAATAATAAATAATATGTACTCACAAATTCGCGAAACAAACATAATTGTAGTAACCAATTGACTGTTATCATAGTGATTAAAATTAATTTTATAATATTAAACAAATTACCAAAATAGAAACTTCTATATAGAATGAAAACTTTACTGTGAACCATTGAGCATTTAAATTGGAGTATAAGAAATAAAAACGTTAGTCAATGATACATTTTGATAAGCATGTTATCATGTTATCACAATTGTTAATAACGGTTTGCAACTTATATAACTCGATCAGAGAGCAAGATAAAACCATCGAACATTATCGTTCTATGATAAAACTAAAACGCAATAATTAATTTTCAAAATGTATTTTAAAACATTTTTAAATTTTTTTTTTCAATTTTAGACAAAATATTATTTTATAATATACAATAAATATCATACTGAAATTCTTATTTGCACTGCACAAAGTAACAATTTGTATTGCACAATGACTTTTCTCACTGCACAAAATGTGTCTCACTACACACTAAAAAAAAACCCTGATAGCTAATATATAGGTAATCGTAATTTATAGTACAAACATATATTATAATACAATGCCCTACATAGGTATCGCGGCAAATACACGAATATAACATAATGCTTATTCCTTAATAAATAATAGGTATAATATATTAGTGCCACTGTACCTACAAGCGGACAGCAATATCTATAGCTACTGCATGACTATTGGTTACTCTATATATTATAATGTATACATTTCATTTGTTATTCGGAGGTTTCGCTAATCAGAGGGGGTATATTTTTTTAAATTTATAAAAAGTATATTTATGTATATTATGTAAAATGAAAAAATATGCAATAGATATTAAATTAAATTTTAATATTATTACTTAATTTTTATGAGGATGCACGTAAAAATTGAGACATGTTTTAATTATATAATAATTAATAGTTTTAATATTTTAACAATACATATATGAATAGATATTAAAAAAGGAATACATGGGTACATACATAAATATAAATAAATTTAATGTGAAAAAAATCAATTTTTGAATGAGTTCGTTATCGTTATACTACTTGTACTCATGTTAGTGCATTTTTCTGTCATCGTTTTTTTAATTATTTCTTAACTAAAGTTAAAATAAATATTCGCTATTCAGAGATTTTTCTATTGCCTATTGGAAAATAATCCATATGTGATATGTCCTTATTCCCCAAAAAATGTTCACTGTTAGGTGTCCCGGGTGTCTGTTTGGGAAGGTTTCACTGTACTATACTATGTATGTACATAAGACAAGTACAAAAAATGTATATTATTTATTTTTGATGGTAGGGAGATAGGTAGTAAGTAGGTACCTAATAAAAATGTTATTAATGTTAACTTCTTCTCAGTAAATAACATCAATAAATGAAATAACATCAATTGACCCGTGATATTGACCTATATAAACATATAGTTTTATGCCTTTATGATATGATTAATAATTTTATTGATAATTTAGGTATATGTATATTACATTATGTAATAATTGTATGTTTATTATTATTATTATTATTATTATTATTATTATGATTATGTAGATGAACATAATATTATCATTTAGCACTGTCATTATTGCCTCATATATAAGTAATGAAAACTAACACGAATTATAAAAATTATTATTAGGTACCTATTATTAATTATTAGACTAAAAAATTTTTAAAAATAGGTAGGTATTTAAACTAAAATAGTATTGACTTTTGATACAAAAAAATGTATTGTGATCAAAGGAAAATTCTTCGGAAATTACTCCGCTAAATAATAATTTTCGAGTTAATCTTTTTTAATTATTTCGTTAAGAAGTCGTTATGATAAATATGATAAATGACAATTCATTGCACATTTGCATACGGATACGATTACACAAAAAATAATTGAGAGTAGAGACGGTGAATCAAATTTTTTAATAAATTAATTTTATGATTTATTTATAGACATAATATAATTACTATAAAGGTAAATTCAACTCATATTTTTGAAAAAAACAACGAATATATTATAAGTTATAAGTATACTAAAAATTACCATTGTTACTTTAGTTAGGTACCTATTATAATATATATTATTACATAATTTAATCATATTCAAATAAAATCATATATTAATGAATATTGTTTTAAATATAATAGAACAGACACCGTTCAACGGTGTAATAAATGTATTGTATAAATAGGTTTATGGCGTACATAGCTTACTGCAATTATTGGTCTCTAAATATTCTTTAATATTGCCATAGTGTCATTGCGGTGCTCTTGTTGGTGGGAGAGGTACCTAGACAGTAGACACCCCTGACATCAGACATGTAATTGCCCCCTTAAAAATTCAAGTCCTATAGCACATATTATATAGACTCGTATTTTAACTGATGTTACTACGAGTAGAATGAAAATGTATTTTTTTTCTAAAACATGTAATAAAAAACAAATTATGGTTTAAGATAAAAAAATAATAAAGTTTTTAAATAATAAAACGTAAAATATTTTAAATTTGCGTAAAAAAAACTTATTATGATTATAACAGTTAAATATTAATGACTACGAAAGTACAAACAATAAACAAACATTTAAATTATCTTAGAAATATATATTAAATCCAAAGAAATATTTAACTCGGTACTATACAGTAATTAATTATTATAATATAGGTACCACTAATTAATATGGCGTGATATAATTCCGTAATACGATTAGAGACCATCATTATACGGGTTATAGAGTTATTTTTACATATTGTGAAGTGGAAAATAAACACAACAAACAGATATCTGTTATTTGTTATAATTATAAAAATAGAAATATTATAAATTAATGTTCACAGTGTTCATGAAATCATGACTCACGAGTCATACTATTATACTTCTACAATGATCACTGAGCCAACGTAAGACGTTGATACATTAAGTATTTTTTTTTTTTTAAATAAATTCATGCCAATTAAAAATGGTTCTCAAAAACGAAAAGAAAAAGTTAACAATAATTTGGTTTTGAAAAAAATACGAGATTCTTTCAATCTAATTATTCTACCTAGAATAAATTGTAAATTGTAATAATAAGGTTTAAGTAAATAATCATATAGATACGTTTTATAATAATTTAAAGTCTAACTCAAAGTTGGAATGCTCATAAAAAATAATGTGGCCTTACGGTAAAAATTTCAGTTAAAACTTAGGAGACGCCTTGTATTAATTTTTCAAGCTTTTAAATCAACATTTATAGTTAAAAAAAAAACAAGTTGAAAATTGTATATGTCTATTAAAAAGTAGTTAAAGTTGAAGAAGTCAAAATAAGTTGTTAAGTAACAATATTTTATGAAAATTTCAAGTACCTGTGCGGTTGTCGGTTATTCTTTTTTACTACCATTGTAGTGTAAATTTAAAATTTTTTAATAAACTGGGCGCTTGTAATAAGCAATAAACGGCACAAATGTATTCTTTGACATTTTATGTTGATAAATGATGGAGAAAATTCTTTGGTCCGTTATACTTTGAACACAAATCTATAATTTAAGGTATGATACAGTAAATTTTTTTTGAAAGTATTTTATACGAGTATTTTTTTTCTATGCAAATAGTTAAATTAAATAATTAATCAATAAAATATTTATATTTTGGTCAAAAGTATAGAAGTGGACCTAAAAATTACAACAATCGAAAATAAGGAGAAAATAATCTTATTTTTAATTACATTTCTGAAAGCAAAAACATAATTAATAAATTTTATTATAATAGGTAGGTATTGTAGTTTAAAAAAGTTAATATTAATGTAGGTAACCTTAGTACCTACTCAAAAAAAGATGTTGCCTAGTTCACTCGTGAAGTTTCATAACTTCATACCTATTCACCTGGGTACTTAAAGTCTTTAAATATTTATACAAAACATAGGTATTAGATCAAGATATAACAAAAATAATTTCTTAACTCAAATAGGTATGTATGATAAAATTCAAAAAGTAATTTGTTATGTCCATCAATAAGTAGCTATATAATTAACTTAGGTACAATTATAAATTATAATAATTTATGTATGGTACCAAATAGTTAATACTGATGGATGATGGTCGATAATTAAGAACATTTTTATTGTATTAAATAATAAACAAAAAGTTTGGATTGTATAAAAAAAATGAATATTTTTTGGTAGATACAGAAAAAATAATTATAATGAGGCTTTGATTTAATATTTAAAAGTATTTTATAAATTGAAAAATTTCTTTTACAAAAAGCATTTTAAGGACATGAAACTCGATTTTGCTATTCACTCGTCTTGTTTTCAATAATGAAACTTTAAAATTAACAAAGCATACTTTGATTTGGTTAGTTACTTAGCCTAGAACTTGTCATAAACTTTATAAAGAAAGACATATACTTATACTATACAGTATACCATACGATGTAAACAATTTATAACAATGAAAAATAAAAAAAATAATACACCTAAGGACGAATTCCTAATTATTTCATAATAAAGCTGCCCCTGGTAGATAAATTTAAAGCTATAGGCAATGGCATAGTTTTGGGAGGGATGATGAAGATAGAACCCTCAAAACCTTTTTTTAAATGTTTAATGCATTGACTTATACCTGATATAAGATTAGAACATTACCCATATTATGTTATAATCACATATATAATATGCAACTTAAGGCTAAAAACGCTTGGTTACAAGCCTACCACTTTATGTTTATCCAATACATTTTAAATTTCCCATCCCCAAACAAAGTCAAATCATAACTACACTACTGGTGTAGATACATATTTTAAAATTTAATGTGATTAGTAGGTACCAACTAGTTACTTGATATATTTTCACTAATTTTACTATTATATAAAATTCAATAACAATTAGCTACCTATATAGTATTAATATAATACATAAATATTAATATATCATAAGTAAATTACTTAGTAACAGAGGGGTATCATCTTCTCTTCCACCATATTTTTAAAACATAGTTTTAAACAGTTGATATTTTGCTTTACTCCAAAAAATTCTATACTTACGCCACACCTAACCAAACCTGCAGGGACCAATAATATTATCTCAAATTTTACATATTTTCTAATAAAGTTAGGTATAAACATATCTAAAAATATTAAATAATTACATTTTTATTTAAACACGTTTAAATTTTTTTTCATATTAACTATTTATTATAATTTATTTTATTAACTGTTAATAAAACAAATAGAAAGATTATGTTAAGCTAATAGTTAAGTTTTGTAATTATTATTCATATGTTTATGAAGTTAAATTAAATTAAATTAAATTACAAAAAGTAAGGAAAAACATAATAGGTATTTTGTTAACTAGTAACAAATCTTTTTAGTACAATACATAGCATAAGGTACAGTATTATATTTATTTAAAAATAGCTTAACATATGAAATTTCATTTATTTTGTGAAATAGGAACTTCTAAAATTTGAGTGAATGGATAATAATCTAGGATCCCGATTTGCATCATACATTTGGTCCATATTGTTTTTAATCAAGGCTTAGTCATTGACTAAAAAGTATCCAAGGAAATCAAAATATGTTTTAGCTATTATAAATCATTATGTATAGTAAACAATTTACAGTATGATTTTTATAAACCAGATTACTTTTAAGTTACTTTAAATTTGCAATTTAAAAATGTATATACAATTTTAATTTTTATCAACAATTCATTAAAAATTAAATACAACAAACTATAATAATTCAAAATCATTCAATAAATAAAGTAAATGGTTTATTTCAAATTATATCTTTAAATTTCCACACATAAGGAAGAATTCTTTCTTATAACTATGGTGTAATAGTATTATATAATTTTAAATAATTGTATTTACTTTAATATGCTTTGATAATTTAATATAGTTTCTAATAAAATATAAGAGATTTAAACTTTATTTAAAAACTTTTTTACTTTGCATATAAGTTTAATGATGTCATAATAATATTAAATTAGTATTTACTTATATTGTATAGTTAGAACTAATAAACAAAAACATGTCAAACTCAAAACCCTTTCAGTCTTATGGATAATTTTATTTACATTTAATACCATTAGACAATGATTTAAATAAAGCATACATATTATATAAAATAATTAATTGTATAGGATGAAAAGATAAATATTATTATCAATGAAAGCAATTATTTTATATGAAATATGTATGTATCATATAAATAATAATAACAATGTCTATAGTTAAATTAGTACTATTACATTTTCAAAAAGAAAAATTTTTATTTAAAGTAAACTATAACTTTGATATTGTAACTATGGTTGTTCATTTTAAAATATGATAAATTTGTTTGCTATATATAAAATAATATACTAACTTGTCAACAAATAAATTATAGTAGTAAAAATAAATATAAAATAATAATAATAGTTATAAAAATGTTATCAAGCTATTTCATTTTCTAGAACTGATATTTTTTTTTTTTAACTAAGTAATACATAATCTAACCATTCAATAACATATGAAGCATATTGGCAAATAAAAGCTTAAAAAATTTAAAATTATTATCAAAATACTCTCACTCTTAACAGTCAATTATCACAATAATAATAAATGGAGATTATTTATAAATCACCAAAATTAATACATAAGTAGTAAAAATTAGCGGCGATTAAATGTATACAATATATCTGGTACATCTTCAAAATGCTCAGTACAATTTAAATGTCTTAATATTTGTCCATTCCACAACTTAACAGCATATGCTAATGCATCATCTCGATTTGAACAAATATTGTTCTCCACTAACCATGATACAAGCTCAGAGCCAGTAAATGTTTTCTTATACTTCCACAGTTTCCATCTAAAACAATAAATAACAAAATAGGTATTTGAGTACTTATAATTGATTAAATTAAAAGAATAATTACCTTGTAAGATGAGTAATTTCTGCCAAACACTTTTCTCTATGCTTGTACATAAAGTTATCACATGTTTTTCTTGTATCATATGGAAGTTCTTCCCATGATGGACACTCGATTGGTGATCCTCCCCACCAAAATTTATTCCATCTACACATAAATGACATTGTATTTGTATAGTTATCATTATGAAAACACTCAATATTTTAGAAAAACTTACGTTCGCACAATCGGTCTATTAATGGATTGATAATTAATACCATAAATCAACAACGTGAAAATTGATTGTCCTCTCATTAAAGAAGTTTCAGAGTATGCTAATTCAAGGTACAATCCATTTGTTTCACCAAATATTCTCCAAATGGCCACAGAGAATGTCTGTTAACATTATATTTTTATTGATAAAATTTAGAATATAGCTTATTAAATTAATTAGAATATAAAAATATACTTACAACAAACATTGCAACTGCTTGCATAATAAGTAATAGAAAATGTTTAATATATTCATTATTATCCATAAAATTTGTTTCAGTTTCATAGAGGAGGCCTTGTTTAAAATCGTCTGTGTCAATACTATGAGAGTCTACACTGTAAATATTTTAAAACAGAAAAACAATGTGAAAGGTACTCATAAATTAGTCTAAGTCAATCACTCAAAATGAAATAATCCTGTACCATAATTTATCCACTTTTATTGTTTGATATCACTATTGCATACTACTGGTTAATTATAAATGTATAAATATGCATAAAAATTAAAAACTTTCAAGATAAAATCTTAATAGTATTTAAGTATTTTATATAATCGTACACATGCCAGGGATATAATAAATTAATGAAAAACACTTTCATTATGTATCTAGTGGATTTTTTACTTGTAAATATTTATAATATCATTTATTGTTAAATAGTAAATATATTAGGAATTTTAAAAATGTATATCATTCACAATGACTAAAGTGTTATTAATTGTTATAAGCTTATAATAACAGTTTAAGTAAATAATAAAATATGTAGCTAAATGTATGTAACCAAATTTAACATTTAGTAAATTTTTAACAACATAAGCCTGCATTTTTTTGTATGCATTCTTATTTTTAGTATATTTTATTAAATTAAATTTAATCTTAGTATAACTTTAGTCCAGTGTTTCCCACCATTTTTTAGTCACGGGACCTTTTCAGGAACATGAACAATTTGCAGAACAATATTTATTTTTTTGTACCAATAAAATAGGGCCATTTTTTCGATCATTGTTCACATTGAAAATATTATATACTAATAAAATTTTTCCTAAATTCTTCTAGGAATCCTTGCGTTGGTTCACAAAATCTTTAGTTCTGCAGAAAATCAGTTGGAAAATATTGTTTAAGTTTAAAGAGCTTACAAAAGTCCAAGATAGTCCCAATAAGTCAAATAAAAGTGGAAAAATAAACTGGTGGGAAAATAGGTTGTGATTGATCGATTTCGAATTATTACAGTAATGGCACACATTACATAATAATTAATAACCAAATGTTAATTTAAATTATTGAATGTAAGTGGTTAGATATTATAAATATTAAAATAAAAACTTACAAATGCTTGGATGTACCTTGTACATCATTTACAACTTCTGAATAAACTTTTGGTCTAATTATTTTATGCTTTTGGCGTTGGTGCAAAACTAAACAAACAATAGTGCCTAAAAAATGCATATAAAATTAATATTGAATAAACTTATTATTCTAAAAATCATTTACAAATTATTGATAAAAGGAGAATCATTGTAAGTGTTGCAGCTTCTGGAGTTCCATACACATAATTTTGATCGAAATCTGATTTAATAAACAATGGTGGCTGGCAAGTTAACATCAGCACAGAAACCAACAATATTGGTACACTAAACAAAAATTGTGTAAAAAAAAATTTCAAAGTTAATAAATAAATAATTAAAATTACCCCCAAGATATTATCATGTAGAAGTAAATAATTTTATTTTGAAATTCTTCAGTAAATGGCTTGTGCATTATTAGCAAAGTAAAAGCTAAGCATGCAGTCCAAATGTAACAACTCATATCACCAGCTATACTCAACATAAGTTGAATGTATGTTAAGGGATGCGATTTTGGAGTTTCTGATAAGTACTCTAGTAATACTCCAGTACATGAAATTACCTATAACAATAATATACTATTTAATTATCAACATTCATTATGAAAACCATTTTTAGAATATCAATATGCACAAAAAATACCTGTGAAATTACTAAACAAAAAACTACTTTGAATGGTAAACTTTTTAGTTTTTTTAACATAACTAAGATAATCCAAAACTGAAAAAAAAAATAAGATGTTATATAATATTTATATTTTATACTTTAAAACTTTAAATGACTTACAGATGCAGGGATGGCGAGTATACTAACATCGAATTGATACCCTTTTAAAGCTGTTATATTATTTGATGGATCTAATTTGGCTACAGATATTATCTTGGCAGTTAAAAACATAATTGGAGCTGAGAAGAATACGCACAATACCATTGAACTAGCAATCTAAAAAATAAAAATATTAATGAATTATCAAATAATGGAAAACAGTACATACCAAATCCATTTCAAGATTATATGCTGATGCATAAACAAAAACAGCTGGTGCAGAAGGAATCATTCCATATAAAAATCCAAACATTGAAAAGGCAAGGCTATCATCAGCACTTACAGTACCAAATTTTCCCAAAAAAATACTTGTAAGTTCTCTTATCACTAATGGCAAAACTATTCTGTAAAATTCAATCAATACATTAAAAAAAAGAAAACATTTTTGTCAACTAATTAAAAATTATAATTAAAGAAAAATATCTTACAATTTAGCAGCAATTAGAAGTAATGGTAAAATTAAAGCTTCTCCTCTGAGTTTATTGATGTTTCCAACCATCCGTAAACCAAGCAGAAACAATGCAGTAGCAGTAAATGCATTACCAAAAGTCTAAAAATTAATTGTATAATATAAAATTTGAGAAAACTACATAAAAAATAATTTTACTTACTCCTAAGAAAGTTGTAATTATTTTAGGTGGGTCGTGATTAAATACTAAATTAGCTATCAACCCTAAAGCTGTCATAAACACGACAGGATTACAAATAATATTTCTTGAAATTCGTCCCATTAAAGCAGAACGTCTTGTAGTTTCATGGCGATTATATTCTTGGCCTAATTCCATCATTGCAAAACCAAATGGATTTAGGATTATTAAATTAATAGGAGCAACAAGATAAAGGTATTGAACAAATTCACTGTGTTGATGCCTGTAGAGTGCTTCAACTAAAAAAATTTAAATAAATATATAGGTACTCAGAAAATAATAAGAAAATAAATCTATAATATTTTTATAACTTACATATTGGTGCTCCAATAGCAAAATCATTGCTCTGGGTACAGAATATAGCAAATAGAGCAGCCCTAGCTATATCCTGAGGTCTTGTAACTAATACAGTAATTAAAGCAACAGATACAAATACTAAAGTTTTAGATAGGAGTAACGATCCCAAAAAAACCAAATTTACAGATGATAAATCTAACACAGCCATATTAACAAATATAAGTGATGGTAAAGCAAATGTTCCAACAAATCTATTTAAGCCAATACCAGCAGCATGACTAACCAGGCCCAATCGCCCTGACAAATACCTAAAATCAAACAATTGCTATTATAATATATTTACAATTAATTAACAAATAATAGTAAAAATAAAAAATAATGTTAACAAAAAAAGTATAAATTTATTGTATTACCCTGTAATAATGATCCCAAAACACTGAAACAATGCATTATACATATTATTCATTAAGTCCTCATCAGAATCACTCATATTAATTGCAGTCTTATTTGAAACCATCATGTCATAAAATTGTTTAGCATTTGTGTGTGTGCTATTGAGTAAACTAAAAAAAAGAAAAGATATAGCTAAATTTAAGTACATATTAAATATAATAAATGTATTATTAATATACATAATATATCATATTCTATTTATAGAACAAAAACCTATCATAGAATGGTTAAAGATAATTATTACAATAAAATATACACTTGAATTTAGCTAATAAATAAGTAATAAAAAAATATACTTATAATATACAGTTAAAGACATAATATTATATTTAACTGATATCTGTCAAAAAAAAATAGATTAGGTAAAAATGTCTAATCAAAAATTAACAACTGATTTAGAAATGACTTAAGGGAGAAGAAAGGAATTTTAATTAATTAAGTTACAAAAATGTTTAATACTTAGTTGTAAAACCAGTCCTTTACTCTTCCTATTATCTTCCCGAAAAAAATCAATAAAAATTAATTTAATGACATTTGTAATTTTGACAATAATATGTTATATTTATTAATACTAACTATCTATTAACATTACTTAAATTGTAATAAAATGTAACATTTTATTAATACAACTTTTTATCAAAGATTTAAAAAAAAAAATCAATATTTACTTAAATATTATATTAGGTAATACTATATATTTATTACAAGTTACTATTAAACATAGTGATTTAATTTCAATTGGGTCACAATAGTACTTACAGTACATACAATATTTGAATTAATAAATTCTTTTATATTTAATGAAGTTTTACTCAATATAGGGAATGAAGAATGTCAGGAATTAGGATCAATAAATTTAACATTCCTGAACAGTGAACATTGAACTCATACTTCTATTATATATATCACCATCCACCAAATAGAACAATATATATATATATGTAAGACAATTGATATAAAACTTAAATAAAAATAAAATATTTTCTCTATCCCATATCTAAAACACTTTAATTAAAAGTTATGAAACTACTCATTTGCCTTTTACCATTAGAAACTACTCAATAATTAATAATATTGTATAGTTTAAAATCAAAATAAGGTTTTAGCTGCAATACTAATTTAAAACTCTTAAATTTAAATATTTATTTTGAATGTGGTTTTAAACATAAACAAAAAATTGTCATTGTTCTTTAAAAAGATGTTACACGGACATTTGCTGTCTCTGTCTTATAAGTGCGTAAAAGGAAATTTACGTTTAGAAGATTAGGTTTAGCTTTGTTAATTTAAAAATTAAAGATAATCGACCTATAATGAAACTGGAATCTATGTTTGTATGTGGGTTTTTAACGATAGTTCAATTTTTTAGCGAATGTATAATATAGTGAATTAAAATTGTTTATAACTCACTTAAAAAATTGAATTATAGTAAAAACCCGGCTAGAAACACAGAAAATGTTCTTACTATTATTTTTTATTATAGGTCGAATCACTCTAATTTATAAAATAACAAAGCTAAACCTAATCTTCTGAGCATACATTTGCTATATTACGCAATTGTTAGATAGAGACAACACAAATTCCTGTGTAGCGTTTTTTTAAGAAAAAGCTTTTTTCAAATACATAAAAAATTTGTAATCAAGAATTTTTAAACTGTGCTTTAACTATATTATAAAATCAGGTCCTCCTTATGTTATAATGATAAGTTTTTGGTTAAATATAACTTAAATTAATGATGAACTTCAAGTTTTATATATTATTATGGTGAAACCCAATACAAATAATCTTTTTCAAATTATCATCAGTATTATAATAAATAAAGTATTTTAAATTAATTGCTATAGCACCCCATACTCTTTTAATACTATGCTCTTATATTTAAATACTTTCTCTATAATAACTAAAAATTTAAGTTTCAACTTTCAATTCATAAAAAATATAGAAAAATGACAATAAAATTATAAATGTATGTATTTGGTATATAAATATTTCATTAGGTATAACTACATCCATATCTAATAATTAATGAAATACAACAAATACCTAAATGCTATTACAAAGTTCATAAAGTACAAAAAATGTATAAAGTATAAACATATATATAAAATTTGGTGATAGCTGCATATTGTAATATACATTGAGTGGTGGACTTTATAGGCGGGATACTGGAACTTTTTCTAGTGGACTGTATATCCAAATAATAATTTAAGTTATTTCTGTTTTACGTTTATAGCTGCAGAAAAAATATATTGAATATTGATTTTGAAGAGATTATTGACATTGTTAAAGATAAAAATGATTAAGTACCTACTGATTTATTAGATAAAAAATAATAAAAAACTATGTATATTTTTTTTTAATAAAATATATTAAAATGTACTACCATTTTAAGTAAGTACAAGATATGAGTTATTTTATTTAGTAATTGCCAATTAGAGGGCAAAATGTTTTAAAAATTTCAAAATAAGCATGCCATTTATACCCTAAACAAATTTGAGGGCCAGTAAAAAAGTTTACCCAAACTGTATTTTATTCATAGTCCACCACTGCATAAGTTTGACAATATTATATTTTTACCATACCTACTAGGTATGACTAAAATACAACTTTATTACTTAATTTTATAATCCGTTAGGTTTAACTAATAATATAATTATTGACTATTTCAATACTCACAACAATACGTCTTTTAAAGCTTTTGAATCGGTAATTTCCATACTGATATTATTTTGATGGACAAAGGCTACTAAGTGTAATGAAATATGTAAACGAAATTAAGAAACATTCATAGTAAAATTCAACAAAACATTACGTTAAAAAAAAAAAAAAAAAAAAGCATAACAGTTAAAAAATTAACACCGAAAAAGTTTTCGGAACAATACACGAACTAAATGAATATAATATTCATTGTTTCCGCGACGGCTGTATTAGCAGAACTTTTGAACGACGTGAGTGCATCCGGCTTCTCGTTGCTCTGCACAGCAGCACTACAGCAGTGTTAGTCACACAAAATCATTATAGATATCAGATAATGGAACAGCAGCGTTCGCTGTTATTACAATTAGTTCGGACGTCGGGCAGCCGATGACCGCTGCGTAAGTGCACAACGCAACACCACTACCATAGATAAGTATGATACGAACATTACAATAGCACAAGTGCACAACGAACAAACTAGAATACACGATTAGTACTTAAGACTGCGGGACAATAGTCGGTAGGAACAGCTGAGTTGTAGAAGTGCACTGTAATGTAAAATCATTGATAACTGATAACATTGATAACAAATGGGTGATCAACAAAAACCGAGATAAAACTCATCTCTGTTATAACTGGACGACAGTGTGTGAGAGTGTGAGAGAGGGGAAAGGGGGCCATCATGACGAGCAATGAGCACGGCGTAGGCTGGTTATCATAAAAAATAAATAAAATTAATTAATAATATTATATTATAATATTATCCACCCACAGGCCACAGGGAGGTGATACTCAATGGACGTCTAAAACTCTAAACAGATAACGCGGCTGCCGCCGCCACCGTGGCGTCGAGTTCTCTGACTAATGGCTATATAATAGTGTCTGGCAATTTGTACTAATTGTACTGCAAATGTTACGGCTTTTAACTACTGAAATTCACAAATTACGCGTCTTGCGAAAATCGAAATGACTCACAAAATGATATTAATTGATCACATTCACACACCTATTATTCGCGTGAAGAGAACGTGATTCTTAATAATTCTCTATAAGAATTTCTCATTATTTCTTGGAATTCGGCCGAGAAACTGGGAATGTTGCCGTCGTTAAAAATTCCAAGGTAAAAGTTAAAGATTGCCCACGAGTAAAAATAAAACCATAGCAGTTATAGTAACCACTTACTGCAACCTGCAAAATATAGTGTTTACAATATTATAAATTTTTAAAACCGATGGTAATAAAAGAAGTAGGTACCCGCCTGTTACAAACTTACACTGACCACTGTAGTAAACATATCATGACGTCACTAATTTTTTCAGTATTTCCCTGTTCGTAATCAGTTCGTATCTACGTTTTACGCTTTAGTTACGCAGGAAGTAGGAACATAATATTAAATTATTATGTATCATACATTCATACTATTACTTATACAATCAGAGTGTTGCGACTTTCAATTACGATAATATCAGAATTCAGAGGTTACTGCGGCTATACGCTCTGAAATGTATTAATAATAAAATATGTAAATAGAGATTCAGAAATCGAAATTGGTTAAGACCTTGGGTTTTATTTTAATTTTTCAACGCCGAAATCAAAAGGTTAAAAAACCCATAGTTGAAACCTGAAACCCAAAAAAATTTAAAAAAAATCCGTTTACAATACTCCAACCGAAATTATATTTTCAACACATTTATAATTAAAATTAAAAATAAAGTTAATTATACATTTTAAATTTAATCATCAAATACCTAAAATAGTGCAATAAACACAAATGAAGCTGTTGTAGTGTTGTGTAACAATTTGCATGATCTAGTTACTGGTAAACGGTAATCAGTCAAAATATCCAATTTTGTAAACACTTTATTTTCTAATATAATTAACTCATAAGATTACTTATAAGTTATAACCCAGATATTATGATGTACCAATAGTAAAATAAATTACTTTAGTAATAATATTACAGCATAATATACTTCCTAGCCTCACAGCGTAGGTACATAGTAACAAAATCTAATAAACAATAATCAAATTAACTGTTAGTCACTCACACTTGTCGACAATGTTATAGATGTATAATATTTAATAGTTATGAGACGTGATGTCTCGTGAATTTTCAAGGTGGAAATAAAACTATTATTATATTGCTACAACGTTTGCAACTTATTTTCGTCGTAAGTGCGAGTGTGTACATAGCGCGTTGATTCATGAGGTGAATTTTGATAATAATTTATGCATATTTATATAATTATTTATTTTATTTTTTTGTTATGGTTTTTAACGAAAATTAAAAACTCAATTCAAATCGAATTGATTAGGGAAAGATTTTTATCTGGCAGAACACACTAACGTATGAAAAAAATCAATTCATAAAATCTATGTACATATTTAATTTTTTTTTAAACATTTTTTCTACATTTGCAATTTTATAAATTAATATTTCAGCTAATTTTATCAAAAAAATATAGTGTTACATATAAATTTTAGTAATTGAACTATTTAACATATTTTTAACTTAAATTTTATTATTATTTTTATTATTATTATTAGAGTTAATCTACGTTCTAATTGTATTTTTACCAAGGTTCTTGGTAAACAATAACTTAGATTATTAATTATTCTGTGGTTTTAAGTTGATATATTAAAAATATTGCAGTAGACTAATAGTAACTAGTAAATAATCCCCGAGCTTGGATAGCTTTACATAAACAACAGTCAGTACGCCTGATCATTCAACAACTAAACAATGATAGACGATCCTAAGTTAATAGTGATTACTCCATATACGATATACACGCCGTCTCTTGAGCGTTGAATGATTTTAAAGTTATGCTTTCTTAATGGCATAAAAAATTAATGCGACCATATGATAGATAACAATAAATATATTAATTTACAGAAATATGCTCACCCCCATTATAGATTCTAAGCAAAGCGATGAATTTATTTTTAACTTTTAAGGATAAATGAAGGCGAAGATGCTTGGCAAATCACTTTGTTTAGTAAACATGTATTACAGGGAAAACAATGTATACCTACCTAAATAATGTTATATTATGTAAATACGTTCTGTCGCAATCAAAATAATATGGTAAATAATGCAAATGTATATAAATTAGATATTAGGCAATAGTTAAAATACAGTTAATCAAGTACAAGGTTTTTATAATTTATATAATATATTTATCTAAATATTTTTAACATTACCTATATCACAAAGTGTGTATAACTGTCTCAAGTTATATTATATGAGTAACTATTTATAGTAACTAAATTGATAAGTGATAAGATTATTATGTAACTATAAAAAAACTTTTTTTTATACCTTTAAACTTTTAAAGTTTAAATATAGTAAAAATGTAATGTATAAGTGAGAGCGTATTGGTTTTACACTGAACTATTTTTTGTCTGAACTCTGAAGACTTCCAAAATAAAAAAAAATGTTCTTTTCTTTAACTTCAAGGTAGTTTCTGGTGGCAAATTAGTTGTGGATTATACTTGTTGGATCAAAAGAATAAATTTCTCATTAGTATTCAAAATGGTTGGAAAAACAGAAAAAAATATTTACCAGTTCTAAATAGTAAAACCTGATATTTTGGATCTTTTTACATAAGCATTTTAATTTTTAACTTTATTTGATAAAAGTTTTGTTTGTGAGTAAAAATACTTGGAATTTAATACATATAAGATTTCTCATAAATTGTTTTGTTTTCAACAGAATTAAAAAAAAATTATAAGATAATCCCACATATTTTTAAGATTGTTACGTAAGCTATTTACAGGTATGTTAATTTTTTTTAGTTTTATTTCAATAAATTTTGATAAAAATTATAAAATAATATTTAATAATTAATATATTATTTATATTATCAGTTGTAGGTATTGTCGTATTGACTGAAATGTTAATAAATAACAATATTACAATAATATATGATAAAAATTAATAATAGGGTATAATAAATGTGACATTTTAGGTAAAAATTAATTCAAAATTTTGTGTAATAAAATGACACTAAATGTAATAGTTTTAACTCAAATGTAATATATCTATTAGATATTACAGAGAGCAACTCAAGTATGAGATATACTTGATACCTACAGGCTACTATTCCTTTAGGGCAGAGTGGTTTCTCTAGTACATATAAATTATGTTACATTAATTAGTCATTTTAAAATAAATAATTAATAATCACTAAACACCAACCACCTACCTACTATTTTGTAAATATTGTTGAAGCAATATGTGGACAAAAGGATAGCCGCCACTGATCAAAATGTATTTATGTATTAGGCTGTTAAACTTAATGTTGAACAAATAATAATAAATATATACCTATATTATACATTATGATGTATATATATATTATAATAATATGTTAAACAAATGTTGCTTATGTAATTACTACAATTATTATAATTATTATTTAAACATATTATATTAAAATAATTAATGACATAAAATATTTATTTTTTTATTCATCAATGTTATGAATCTGTTTAAAATTTAAATGTATAAAATACAATTTAAATATTGCTAAATTTAAATTAATACTCTAAAATTTTGCTGGACTAGAATACACATTTTATAACAATTTATACAAAAAATATAACCAGAAAATTATTTAGAAATAAAATATTGTACGTATTTAATACAACAATGTATAATAATAAACCAGATATAAAAATAAAGTTAATAAATTATACAACAAAAATTGTATTTTATATAATTAAGTACACGTATACTGAAATTTAATGGAAAAACGTTCAATATATTATGTCAACTTGACATAAATACAAAGTCATCTCAATTATTTTATCTATAAAATATAAAATTTATACAATATAATTCTTTATTCATTTTCTGTAAGAGATATAAAAGTCCAAAACCCCTTAATTCACCAGGTATAATTTGAAAAATAAAAGTAAATTATAATTAAAAATTACACATAGAATAAGTAATCAAAATAAAATTAGAAAAAGTATTATTTTATTCTTATTGTCTTTAATATGTTTAATAGAGCTGGCAGTATTGAAGGTAAACTAATGAGTGATGACTCACTGTTATTTTATCATACTGATATTTTGTGATAATATATTAATATTCAATATAGTTAACTGTAATTTATATACAAGTTAATAATTTAACTTATTTATAATTTGTTTATAGATAATAAATTAATATGACTTAACATCATAATTTGATTTTTGTGAATTGATCTATGTATTTAAGTAAGTAGTATAGTAAGTAAGATAATTCAATAGATTTATGCTGTCCGCTATACATTAGGAAGTGTTTAAATTACTAAGTCTAAGTTTCTAAAAAGTAATGCTTATATTTTGTTAATTCACGAGTAATTTTATGAGTTGCTAATTGTATAAAATTTTTATTGTTTAGTTTTAAAAACAATGATAATAATATTTAAAAGGCAGTTAAAACTTTAAATTTGAAATAGTAAAGTATTTTTAATTCATGTATATATTTTATTTAGGTTTGAGAGATCATAAATAAATTACACGACTATTAAAATTAGACTTTATATGTATAGAAGACATTTATAAGTAAGTAAATATTATTGGTTCACAATTACTATAGCCTTGAAGGTAACAAAAAAAAAAAAAAAAAAAGAAAGAAACAAAACAAAACATAAATATAGTGATACAACTAAATTATGAAAATACTGGAGAATTAATTGCTCATACTGCCAGCTCCCATATTTAAAAATTTAACAATCAATAAGTCTATTGACTGTTGTTACCTAAAGTACTGTACTATGATGCAAAGTATATTTACTTTAAATTGCTTAGTCAAATACGAAACAATTCATAATCACTATGACGATGGCTTATTTTCATTTGAGTGGTTACTATTTTTTTCTTGTATCATTTCTAGTTGTTTTTTAAGGTTTTGACTTAATTGTGTTAAATTTTCCTGGATAAAAAAAAAAAAAAAATCAAACATTATTCAAAATTATCTATAATCATACAATGTTTATCCTTAGGCTGTCCTAAAATTAATTTGAAATCGCAGAAAAAAACCTTATGAAAAAATTGATTTATTTCAACCTAATATAATAGTATATATATTTATTGTTATTATTCAATTTAATAAATAGTCTATTAATTCAATAATGACACTAGATATTTGCTAAACTGCAATGGTTTTTATCTGGTAATTTATAAATAAATGTGTAACTATTTAAATATGTATCCAACAATATAAATTAAGTAAACTGTACTTTCCTTATACCAGTTAAAAATGTCATCAATAGCTAATCAATGCAGTTTATTGAAAGTATTATTCGGTATTTTAGAATTCAAAAATTTAAAACAAACAAATATATAAACAAAAAATAAATCAATTTGTATGCACTGCTACACTAGAGTACATTTAATAGTTAGAGTAGTACAGTACTTACAAACATTACTATTTTTCTATATAACTGTATTACTCTAATAAAATATTTAATCATAAAATTAATTTAAATTAATTATTAAAGCACAATTATACAGCAATCACAAGAATTTTATATTTATGGGTTTTTTTTTATGGTAATTTTTTCTGATTACCATCGATTTAATATTTTATTTTATTTTTTCATTAAAATTAATTCATCACTATGAAATCTTAATTAATAAGCATTTGCAATATAAAACTAAATAGCATTGTCAATTTTTAGTTTTTACATTAACCATGTTTATAGATAATAAGTAAAGAGAAAATAATTTATAAATACTTACTTTTTCATTTCTGAGCTTTTTAATTTCTTCGTCATCTTCATCTACTTCTTCGTCACACAAGATTTCTTCTCGACTTAATCGCTCTGCCAACTGCTCCATATGTCTTGATAAATATGCTCTTTCTGTTTGTACTTTTAAATACTCTTGAGCCAACTAAAAATATGTTTTAGTTCATTTTTTCAACTATTATGACTTATAAATATTTAATTTAAATTGCAATCCTTTTTTAACAAATTATGTTAATTTTAGCAATTTTCACTTTGGTTTTTGATATTTAATGTTAATTTTACTCAAAATATATACGTTTTATATTAATTATGATTAACTTCTTTATTATAAAAGTTATTAGTTTCTATGATAATATGAATACATTTATATAGAAATATGATTTATTATATAATTACCAGAACTAAAATTATAGCTTATGTATAAATAATTTTAATGAATTAAATTGTAATTTAAGTACCTGCTTATGTTCTTCGAATATTTGAACTGATTGAGGACAAGTGTTATCTGGAGGTATTGGATGCAATTGTTGGTCTAGCATCAGGTACAAATTATCCAGTTCAGGATGTGTTCCAGAAACATCTAGATTATAATATTACATAGAATTGTTAAAAAATTTAAAAAAATAAATCAATAATTTTAATTTAATATTTATAATAGTCATTCAATTTTCAAATCAATATTTATTTGAGTATGTTTAATAAATCGTAATTTAAGAAATTTTCTATCATATATCTATATACAATACTATTTATCTATTGATGAGGCAGATCATTAAGCAACCGAAGCTAAATAGATTGACTACCTACTTACTATAGTGTTCATTTGTGACGCACTCGCTAAGCTCACACATAGTTGTTGTCCGTAAGGAATCGAGCAAGGAAATAAACATACAAATACACAACACTAGGAAAACACTACTCTCTACAGTCGTGTCGTGTCTAAATCTAGCCGAATGACTCACACCCTTTACAACGTGAGCCAGATCACTCCAGACATCTGGACCACAGTTCTGACATCCCGTTAACCACAAATCATGAAAGTATTTTGTTTAATAAAAAAGGAGCCATAATAAAAATGCGTAACAATACTAAAAACGTAAATTTATATTTATTTTCAACTAAAATGTACATATTATATCTATTATGAAATGCATCATCCAAGGCCAGTTACGCAATATTGTGTTATTTTATTCAATTTTAAATTAGGAAGTATTAATTTTGTATTAGTATCCATCAAAGGAAATTAAGTATGTTTTGTTGAGCTAATAAATTCAATGATCAGTCATTTGTAACTGTTTTCTATAATCTCAGCGGATTTAAAAAATTGCAACAGTTACAGCCATTATTGTTTTGGGGTTTTTTTTATTCAAATTAATACATCATTATATTACAATTTTTACGAATGTGATGTATGAATGTATATTAAGTTTTATGAACATTTTATTCTAAAAAAGATAAGTGCAGTTATAAAATGATAATTAATATTTTGTCGTCAATAATACACCGCTATCAATTATGTAAACACCCAATTACTAAAAAAAAAAAAAATATTTACTGGGAATTAGGTTTAGGTTGGCCTTATACTAGCATATAAAATGTTTTAAAATATTTTAAGTTTAAGAAAAAATGTCTTTCAAGAACAAATAAATGAGCCCTTTCTCGGAATTGTAATGGTTTCAATATCATACTCTACGCGCAAGACTATCGTTTTCAAAATAATTCTTATACATGAAATAATTAAAAATAAATATGAATAAATCAAGATTTTTTCAAATAAACGATTAAAATATTAAAAACTGTTTGTTGTTTTAATAAATAATAATTTATTTAAAATGGTCAAATTATAATACGCCTATTGGCCTATTAATTGGTAGGTGACAACAGTCTAGAGGTTAATCTACAGACATTATTAAATTGGTTGTGGTTCAGACACGAGATTATGATGTCATAACTCATAACTCATAATGTTTAGAATTTAGTAAAACTAAAGATAATTTTTTCATACGTTAAGCTGTGCTTACAACTCTACTTAATGCCTGTATAAAAGTCCTAATACAATAAATATTAATATGATAGTTTTACAAATGATGACTGTTATTTAAGAGATTATCGATGTATTTGTTATTTTTCTTTGACCCAAGCGCAGTATAGCAAAGTTGAGATCAACAAAACCAACTTTTTGTTGTTAGCTTTATTATTAGAGTGTAGTAATCTATTATTAAACTAAAAGTTAGGAAAATTATTTGTATTTGTATATTGACTTTTTATAATATCATAGTTTTTATGCAAATTATGAGTATATAAAATAAAACAATTTAAAAATGTTTAGTTATCGCTTTAAAATTTAAATATCGTAAAAAACCCAACGTATAACAACAGATAATGTTTTTGACTTTAAGTTTGATAGTAGATTAATTTACTCTAATACTAAACCTAGTAATACGAAGTTGGTTATGCAGTTATGCTGAACATAAATTTTCCATATAGTGCCGCGTTGGTCAAAGGAAGAAAACAAATAGCACGCTGACATCCTAAACATTATGAATTTATCTAGAATTAGGTGAGTAGGGATGCAAATATAAATTATCAATTATTACTACAAAACCATAATAGAAAACCAAATTAAAATGAAAATGTAAGTTGGTAAATAATAAACACTCAAATTTTTCGCCGCTTAGTAATTTATTATTAATTGTAACTGCGCCAATTACATTATGGTGTTAAGCAGCCATTTAGTATACCGGGCTTTTAAACACCGTACACTGCGTCTTTGTATTCCGCTTAGCTATTTACGTAAATTCTAAATTTATCTAGCCATGTTCTTTATTAAGAGGCGTTTTCATCAACTAGGTACCTTCTCATTCGTTTTCCTCACACAAATGTATAAATATATTATTGTTCTAAACAATTGTAAAAATTCTATTATACATAGATAGATACTTACGAGGGATAATTTAAAATTTATCAAAGGACAACAAAATATTTTATAAAAGTTAAACTTAATATAAATTTAATATTCAATCGCAGGAGCCATAAACCAATAAATCTATATTAAAAATAACGATACGTTAAAAAAAACCCATTATTTTAAAATATATTTCATTAAATACGAATACCTACATATTTAAATAAACTGAGATGTTACATACCTACGTTTTTAATCGATTTTCAAAAAAATGATTGTTTGAAATTTTCCGTCCTTTTTGGAATACTTCAGTAGGATAAATATATTATGATTTATAATTTTTTCATATATTACATGAAAATAATTAGCAAATACTAAAAAGCTGAAATTCTGTCAGTGAATACATTAAAATGAATAAAATGGGTATAATTTATACTTTAAACATTATAGTCATTATATCATTGATTATATATAATAGATATACATAGTATGTAGGTACTATGTGTAATTAATAATTTTACTTATAATAAATAAATAAACATTTTATAAAATATAGACGAATTTTTCGAACAATAAAATTCACAAATTATAGCCAAATTATTAGGGTATAAAATACTTAAACAGAACACTTGACATCGGGATTCGAATGACAGGAATATTCGTTAAACATTGCATACAGCTATAAGGTCACGTCCTTCTGAGGCTATAAACACCGGAAACAAAATGTTTGCATTGACATACTGATACTGGCAAATAGCCACCATACTCATAACATTAGGCAAAACTGGAATACATAAGCAGACATTGGGTTGATTGTTTTTTGAGTGAAGAAGCTAAGTTTCCCAATGGCCCCAATCCCTAAATTATTCCTTAATGTCTGCCTATATGTTGGAATATCAACATAATGATTTAAATCAAAATTAAAATAATACATTTTTCAGACCAATTTATAAAGCAAAGCGTAAATAAATTTAGGAGAGATGATTAATATATTATAATTCATTATCTAAATAATAAAATGTACCCATCTATTATTCAAATTAATGAAAATATACAATTTTAACAAATCAGTCTAATCCCATTTTTATATTGAAATTAAAATTATTTATATATTTTTAAAGAAATATATTCTATTTAAATAATTATTATCAGTAAAAATATTTTAAAATCATTATTATTTTAGATTAGAATCTAATACTAAGTAAAAGTTAGATTTTACTCTGTATCACAAATGTAGAAATAAATGTTTAAGTAAAAACTATTTATTATTTTTTTTATAAAATCTAATAAACAATAATAATCAATGAAAATACTAGGAATAGCATAAAAATAACTGAAATTATTTTGTTTTAATTGTTGATTTTATTTTATTTCAATTACTTTATATTACTGTCTATTATGCAATAAAGATGTTAAATAATTCTGTATATTATTAAGATAAAATAATCAAATACAAATATCCTTTAGAAAGGTTTTTAATTTTGCTTTAAAAAGTGTACTAGAAGATATGTTTATTTAAAATCTGATTAAAAAAATCTTGGTTACAAAAACAAAAACTATAAAAAGTAATTAAATAAAATTGAATAACCATGCCATTATAAAACTATATATTTATAATTAGTAAACATAACATATTTGATGCAAACATTACTTAGAATGTAAACTTATATACAATATTTTGGGGAATTCAATTAAAAATTCAAAACAGAAAAAACATTTACTAATAATAGTTTTACTACCTCAGAGATAAAAATGATGTATTGTTGTGCTGTTGTGCATAAATACTTAACAATAAACATCAAAAAATAGTTAATTGCTAAAAAAATTATAATATACACATAAGTACATTATACAACAGATAATCCAAGATTTTTTTTTGGCCAAGCTATGGGTCATTCACCATATGACTCATGCTGATGTGATTTATTATTAAAATAGTAACTGGCATTCACATGTCATCAGAAAAAATGATCTCTTTGATGGATCATTTAACTTGGCGGTCATTCGCCTTTAAGAATTTTTAAAAATAAAATAAGAGTATTCGAAAGGGATAGAAAGAGAAAAAGAGGGGTAATTTTGAAGGGTATACTTTAGATATAGTTTTACCACAACAAAATTTAATATCAAAAAACAAGAATTGTATTTTAAGCACCCATTAAAAATAATAATATCCCTGATAAGTTCTGATTACCTATTTTACTTTTTACTACTTCTATTGATAATGTGACGATGACTTTATATTATAAAATATTTAAAATCTATTAAAAAAAAAATACATTTCTTACATGATATATATAAATACTTATTGTTCAGTAAATGATTACTAGATAAATGTTGATTTGCTTATTGAATAAAAGTAGTATTATTAACCTTTCTCAATGATTTAGAAATAATCATAGTCTAATGTCTATTATAAATGTATATCAATCATTTATAGTAAATTATAAATTTATAACTGAACATAAAGAAAATTGATATATTACTAAATTAATAATTATTTTATTCATTAATTGATTCAGTTTACAAAAAGATATAGCAATGTTTTAAATCATGTGGATTAAATAAAACAAAACAAATTTATATAAACTAATAACCATTGAAATTAATAAATAATTTTGAACATAAATAATATATTTTTAATAATCCTATCTGAGTGGTTAATATTCTTCTCATCCATAAAAAAAAAAATACAATGTAAACAAATTAAGCTCTTTTATGTTTAAACATAAGCAAACAAATAATTTACTACAAAATATATAATTGTAATAATAGATTTATTTCAAACAAAAATGAAATTTATTAGCCACAAGATATTTGAATGAAATTTAAAATGAGATTTCTGACAAACAGTTTTATATTGAATCTATTTTTGCTATTTATTCTGTTGGATATGATCCAATTAATTTCTATTGTTTCTAGTAACATTAATTTGAGAAATGTAAAGACAAAACAATAATTCAAATTACTCAATATGGGAATTAAATAAATCATTAATTTAAAATTTATATTAAATTTACAACTTTTAAACATAAAAGAATAAAATAAGACGTGTGAGAAAATTTTAGTAAACATATCATCTACTTAAATAATGAATTTTTGAAAACTAATAATACTTGGAAAAAAACACATCAGGATAAAAAAAGATCTTGATAACATAATTGTAGCTATTTTCAATTTTTTACATAATTTTTTAGAAATTTAAAAAATTAACTTTTTACTATTTTTATTTTTTGAGTATACAATAATTAAGGCTGAAATTTCACTACCTAAAGACACTGTAAAAATTTTATTAAAATCCTATTTCGCTATGAAAAAAAAAATTATATTTTAATAAATAATATTATATCAGTTAGGTCCAGTGGATTTATTTTAATTCCTCGGCTACATTATCCTTGTATGAGTTTTTTTAGGAAAACATGTTATACTTTATAATTAATAACTTATTATATAATTTTGAATTTGTCGATATACAGCTATTGACCACTATGTACTTCTACAAATATTTTGAACATTTGTAGAAAAAAGTTTACATTTTGTAAAAAATTATGTAAACATAACAAAAAATGTCTAATTTTATTTGTAAAAAATGTTATGACAAAAATTATGATAAAGTAATCAGTATCTATTACCTAAAAAACATTTTTTCATGCATAGAGTAATGTTTTAAATTATAAATTCAAAATGCATCAAAATCCTGGTCCAGAGTTTATAATATTAGCATATAAAATTTATTATTCATAAGTTATTTTTTTATCAATTTTTTTTACTAATGACTGGTAAAATCATGATTGTTTTATGGCACCAAATATAAAATATTTACAGACTGCTGGAAATTATAAAATAATATTCAAGAGATAAATTATTATTATGTTCAAGTTAACCAACCATAAGTACAACTTTATGAATCATATCTTTAGAAATCACTCTTAAAACATGGAGATAAAGTATGATATTTTAAAATGGGAGAACAAACCAAAAGATTTCATGGTCCCAAACTTTAATATGGAGTTTATGGAGTAATCAAAGCTTAGTGTAAAGGATCCATATAAACGAATGTTATAGAATATTTAAGAATTTTGGATTGCATCTTGATATCATATTAATTTATTTACTTTAAACTCAAATTAAATAATACAATTATTTTTAATTTTTATTATTGAATTTTTTACAAATATTTATTAACAGTATTAAGGAGGAGCAATACCCAGCACGACGTTTTTTCAATTATAATATGTAGGTTATATCTTAGTTAAGTATAGTTAAAATTGTATCTTGTTTTGATGATACTTTATTTTAAACTTTATGACACATGGGTTGGCAATCGAATTGACAATCGGCATACAAATAAATATCACATACACATATACACAGTCAATATATTGACACATGTGCTAGCCAAACAAAAAAAATTGCTATGATTCATTTGAGTTAGTTGAATATTCTTAATTATTTAAACTAGAGTTATTTATATTTCATAAATATAAATATCTAAGCAATTCATATATTTTTTTAAGTTAAGAAACAATTATTTTGCTAAATATTTATATTTTAATATATACATTAATATATAGATATAGTATTTACACATATAATGATATATATATTTATTTTAAAGAAATACATCATTCATATATTCTTTTTGTAGGAATTAATTTTGTTTTAAGATATTTTATTAAAATTAAATTACTTAGATTTTTTTATTTATACATAAAATTTAATAAGTTTCATGACTCAATAAAAATAATATTAAATAAACATTACATTTTTAAGCTTATATTATAATATTTTTTAAATGTCATAAAATAAAATATGATTTGTGTATAGTTAATAATTTATATAAGCTTTGGAGAAAAATATAGGACTAAAGAGGTTTAAAAGCAATAATTATATATATAATTATCCAGTAAAGTTATATTACTCAAGAATAGGACAAGTTATAATATACCAATGAATTAATTCAATAATTAAAGAAATAAAACTTTAATTAATAGATAATATTTTTAACTATGAGTAAGCAAATATTTTTAATAAAAACTAGAATTAAATTAAAATCTTTAAGTTAAGCAATTAAAGCTCAAGTTAATATAAAAACTTAAAAATAATAACTCTCAGAAAACATACCTTTTACATCATTAGTGTCATCAAGTGGACTTTGACACTGCGAATTTGATTCATCTTTGTCAGTTGAGTCAACAGTTTGATAAGCACCCACTTTGTCAAAACCGGGCATGGTCAATATTTTTAAGTCTTCATATTGATCAAACTAATAATAATAAAATCATCAAATAATAATAATATATAATATAACTTTGAGATATATAAAATACTCTCACCTTGTTATCTACATTAACATTTAATGGTATTGATAAATTTGGATTAGATTTTAAACTATCATTTGTCAACATTCCATTAATTCCTTTATGACTTCCTACCATATAAATAAATACAAATTAATTATCTTCATTAAACATACATTTATAATTTAATAATTGTGATATTTAAATAATAATTAAGAGAACTAATTTATAAAAATGTTATTTATAAGCTTTAATTATTATTATATTTATAAATTATATAGATAATGTACAAAAAAAACATCATTTATGATAAATTGATAAATTAAAGACTATTAACGGCAATTAAAATACCAAAATATAAAATAAATATGGAAAATATTAAATGTTATAATTAAATTTTAGACTAAATTGTTAACTTATAGTTCACAATACATTATTACATTTCATTTTAAAAATACGCTAATCTAATTATTAACCATATTTTACAAATTTGTTACAACAATGATAATATATTAATTATAATCTACTTACTGATGTATAAGTTAAGTACCTATAATAGGTTTTTATTCAAGACATTTTAGTACACAACACCTAATGATTATAAATTTTATTTTTTTTTGTTTTGATCTTTTAAGCCTGATAAATAAGGTCATTAGCTCTAAAAAGGTACAATTGGTTTTATTTTAGGATTTGTAGTGTTATGGAACACTGGTATGTATATGTAAGCAATGAATTCTTCGATAAGAAACCTGGTGGTCACCCATTTGAGAACTAGTGATGCCAGCCAATGCTTGACCTCAGAACACATTACTGACTGAGGCCAGCCACCGCACTACATAAAGCCACAAATATTGTATTTTTATATTAAATGATTATATTGTTATAAACAGAACTTGGGAATTTTATGAGCTATAAAACAATGTGATAAATGTAAACAAACATATGTACTAATAAAGTATTAAAAATGTAGTAATGGGGATTTTTTTTTTTTTTTTTTTTTTTTTATTGCATTTTTAATATTAATAGTAAATTTACACAATAAAAATAATTATATCTATACCACAATTCAAAACATAGATGACTAGATTTATATTTAAATTGGATTTATTTTATAATTTATATTTTGATTTATGAAAAAAATATGTAATACTTATAGGATTTTTAAACAGCTAAATTACTTCAATTTGATAAAATATAGTAAAAATATGTTACATAAATTTTATGAATTTGAGTTGTATATAATATGAAACAAATGTATCAAATCACTTTTTGAAAATCTTCATAAGAAACATGCAAATACATAATGTTTCAGACAATGGTGATAACATTTACATATAATTATAAAAAGAAATATTTAAAAATAAAACAAATATAAACATAAAATAATAGTAATAATAGGGTCAAATTCTCACTTGGCACCCAGGTATAAGATATTTAAAAAAGAAAGCCAATAGACAAAAATAGAGAAACTACAAACAAACCAAAAAAATTGTTTTAAAATAAGCATAAGAAGTACTAGGATTGACAGCATACAAAAAATTTACTTTTTAAGATTAATATTTTCATACTTGATTGGATTAAACTCAATTAAAAACATCCTATTAAAAATTATACATTTCTGAAAAGGTTCAATAGTAACAAAATCAAGAAATTTAAGCAAAAACATCTTCAGGATAATAAAAAAAAATAAAACCAATATTCTCTATAATATAACATGGATAATAAATCAAAAAACAATAAATTAGTAATTAGACAAAAGTATAAAAAAAAACTGAAAATAAAACTGATATGTAAGAAGTTAGAAAAAAATAAAATTTTAAAAACAATTAAAATAAATATATTTAATTTTATAATTTATTACTATTAATACCAATATCATAATTTATCAATTACATAAAAGTAATGTTTTAATTTTTTAAATTGAGTAATTTAATAAGTATTTTTGTTTTGACTTTATATTTTTCTATAAAATAGAATAGATAATATTATTTATAATTTTTGATAATTAACATAATTATAAAATATAAAAATGTATAAAAAAATTAAACACATATTTTAATATTGTAAATTAAATTAAAATGTTTGTATTTTTTATATCTAAATAAAAAATGTACTAGGATTTTTTTTATTTGATACTAAAAAAATGAGCCCAAATTATTTATCTGGCTTTTTTTTTAATCAGACATTCAAATTAAATGATATGTGATGTAAATGAACATACTTAAGCTTTCAATATAAGAGTCAGAAATGTCTGGGCAAGAATCTTCAGAAGTACAGTCTTCTTCAAATTCACTACCTACAAATAAAATATACAACATTAAAGCATTAAAAAAAATATATAATAATTTTATACATACTTATAGTATAACAATAATTGGGATATATTAATGGTTGGTCATGTCCTGAACAAAATTGTATTAAAATCCTCATCACCTGAACGACATGATCTATTGATGGCCTAACATTTGGATTTTGATCCCAACACCTTTAAAAACAATATACAACATAGTAAACTATTGAAATGTATTAAGAAAAAATATGATCCAATATGATATCTACCATTCGATTATATCTGCTATCATATTACAGATTTACAATTTTTATTGGACGCTATCAAAAATACTCATGAGCTTAGTTAAATGTACTTATATGAATATTATATTATTGTATTTTTAAGCAATGTTTGTATAGTAGATGCAAAAATAAAAAATATGAATATTAACGAAATAATAATCATGAAAATTGACCTTAAAACCAAAGTGAACAAATAGATATTAAAAAAATTGATATTATGTATTAAAACACAAGTATAAATTAAATATAAAAAGAAAATATAATTTAATGAAAAAACAATTAATCAAAGAATGGTATTTATTGTATAATTAACATTTAACATTCATTCTAACAATTTTTAAATGATATATAAAATATTTAAATTATGTTTATTCAATAAAATTGTTTGTCATGAAAATATATTCTACCAAAATAAGAAACTCAGGTAGCCAATGTGTGCACATAGGTGTAAAATCATTTTGTGTTTTGGTTGCTGGTGGTTGATCAATTAAGGTAAACAGTTTTGTGTGACCTATATCACTGACAAAATTGGAGGCTACCAGGTCACATCTTATGATGAATAAAATATAATATATTGTACCAAATTTAGGTAAGTAGCATATTAGATCACATTTAATAATATAAAGATATTATCTTAATAGTTGTTTTCATACTCAGTAATTAATTCCTGAAACGGTCGAGGGCATTGTTCAAATAATGGTGGTCTAGTTCCTTTATGTACAGCCCACATAATTCCATAAGCAGATCCTCCAATTTCATTAAATGGTTTCAGTCTTGTTAAAACTTGCCATAAAATAATACCCCAACTATATATATCACATTTTTCTGTATAATTTGAACCTTGAAATAATTTAAGATTATTAGTTAAAAATTAATAATACATATATTTTTAATTTCAAACCTTCAAATACTTCAGGTGCCATCCAAGCTGCACTACCTTTATTATTAGTCATATATGTTTTTTTGTCACAAGCAGTCCCAAAATCACATATTTTTAATGTTTTTCCTTCATTCACTAATAGTAAATTTGGTGGTTTCAAATCACTAAAATAATAAATCATAATTTTATTTTTTAGTTTTTTAAATGTTTCAAGATAAAATTATAAATCACAAGTATAATTTGATACCGATGAATTAATGGTTTAGGTTTCATATTATGAAGATATGCTACACCTTCTGCACATTGTAATGTCCAGCTAACAGCATGTCCCAAGTTGTATTGAGGCTCAGGTTTACAATGTAATACTATTAACATAAAATACAATTTAAAAATATTTCAATGATATTAGAGAGTAATATATTAGTACATAAAATGTATTTTTATTTTTACAATACACATTACAATAGGTGCTAAGATCATAGGCGTGCATACGGGTAGGATTGATTGAGCTTAAGTTCTACTTGAGCTTTTTATTTAAATGTGGGTGGGTACTTGGTATCTAAAAAAGTAAGAAGGTGTTCAAGTTGTAGAAAATTGATAACAAAATAAATCAAAATCATAGATATTTGCATGATTAAAGATATACTAGTTGCTCATAGGCATAATTTTTTTCTTTTGTGACCGTGACGTGGGAGGAGAATGGGTGGTCAGATTGAATTTATCCATACCGACCATACCCGACTCAGAAGATCGCGCACGCCTATGGCTAAGATTAAAAACTTAGAATCAGTATAAATTAGTTCTTTAGGTAATAATCAGAATAATAACTATATATTTGTATAACTTCATAAAATTTAATCTATAAATACAACAATCTAACCGTTGTATAATGATCCGCCTTCCGCAAATTCCATTACTAAACAAACAGGATTTGATGTACATGCACCATATAATTTAACAATATTGGGGTGGTTGACTCGAGACAACTGTCGAACTTCGACTGTAAATGCTTTACGCTCAGCTTCGGTGTCAATGTGTTTGACAGCCACATAGTTATTACGCCACCGTCCACGGTAAACAACACCAAATGACCCTTTGCCAACAATCTACGCAGCATAAAATAAAACTATCAATATACTTTGGACATAACAAACTGTAACATTATACATATAATATAAATATAAATGTACTTCAAGCTTTTCAATTTCATCGTAATCAATTTCTTCCACAAACTTTTGTCTGTGTCCGTGTGTTTCTTTAATAGCCATTTGATTTGTGCATGTGCCTCGGATGGCATAGAATATGTTCGGCACCGTACATCGCCCAAATAAACCGTATGTAATAATAAATGTTGTGAAGAATGGATGAATACAATTTCAGTACCTCTACGTATTATTTATTTTCTTTAAGTATAAGTTTTTTTTTTTAATTGTTATCCTTTCATCGCTTATGATTAATTGATAAAAATAAAATGTAGTGATAAATAACTTGCTACAAAAAAATGACGTTTATTATTAAAAAAAATATGGCTCAAGTCACGTGATTATACTTTATTGTAGATATAAATGATAACACTGATAACAGATAACGGAAACCATTGGCTGAAGTATCAAACCAATAGATCATCAACGATCAACGATCAACGTACCATCACATAAATCGGGATTATTATTTATTTTTCAATCTTTATTATCTATCAAGAATTTACGAATTAAGAATTATGATAATCATAATTCGTGTTTTGTAATTTTGTATCAATTAATATCAACGATTCACTATTATTATATTTAGCATTTAATACTCATTTATTTTCATCAAAAACCATTCATGTCTTTTATCAATATTCACAGCTTGAAGTTCCTGAATGTAGATACTGAAAATTAAATTTAAAAAAAATGCGTGTAGAACGTAGTCAAAGCCCTACTGAGCAGGTTAATTAAGGAAAATAATTTTTATTACAAAGAAAATAATATTCATCATCATCCATATTTTATTTTCTTCAGGTAACCAGCATTTTAAATGAAGCTGCCGTGGCTCCCGATGAAAACATTAAACTTGATTTACTACTTAAGTCTAAAGAAGTACTATTATATCAAGAACCAAAATTTTTACCACAATTTATTAATGATGTAATTGCATATCAAAATGATCATAGTTCAACAATAAGAAAATTTGTTGTAGCGTTTATAGAAGAATGCTGGTAATTTGGTTGAGAACTAATATTCTTAAAGGTATTTAATTATAATAATGATTATATTTTCAGCAATAAAGAAAAGTCAAATGTATGTGTCACATTACCAAATTTATTAATGTTACTGAAAGATCGATCGCTTGTTGTTCAAAAACGAGTGGTGCAAGCAGCTAGTAATATATACAGAGCTGGGTTACAATGGATATCAATGACAGATTTACCTAGTTCTGATCTATCTACTGTATGGCAAGATTTAACAAATTTGAAATCACATGTAATTAACATGATTGACAATGATAATGAAGGGTATATAAGAATCATTATTTTTATTTATTAACTATTAAATGTAATTTACATTTTTTCTTTTTTAGTATTCGTACTCAAGTAATTAAATTCATGGAAACAGTAATACTGGTACAAACATATAAAGGTGAAGGTGGTGTAGATCGTGAGAATGATGTATCACTTGAAGATATACCTTTAACTCTTAAAGTTACTCGTCGTAGAAGACTTGAAGATGAAGCAAAGTATTTAATATGCAATTATATTATATTACTATAGTATAAAATAAAGAATACAAGATTATACTAATAATGATTTTGAATTGTAGAGTAGTGTTTGATCTTCTTTCAAGATTTTGTCAATCTGGTAATGTAGGCTGTGCAAATTTAATGACTTGTATGGGATCATTAACGTTAATTGCCAAATTCCGAGTGTCATTTATCGAAAAAGTTTTAATTACATTAGAAACGTTATCTAGTAAGAAATATCATGTAGAAATCATTTTTAAAACAAATTAGAATTTATTTATATTTTTAAATTATTTTGTTTTAGAAAATATTCCAAGTTCTTTAACACCAAGTCAATCAATCTCTGTTCAGAAAAATCTAAAATTACAATTATTAAGTTTATTGCGTCTCCCAGCTTCAATTGAACATCAGCAAATTATTGGAAGACTATTATTAGATATTGGAGCTTCCAATCAAGAAGTAATTATATAATTATTAGTAAAATATATTATTTAAAAATATATAAAATATTCTCTTATTTTTAGATTATGAAAGCACTTCAAGTTTTGTCAAAGAATGAAGATAGTAAAAAGTTATTACGATCCTTAAAACGTAAGAATGACGATAAAGATGATAAAAAACCAGATAAAGATGAAATTCCAGAAAAAAAGAGGTGTACTGAAGGTACACCACCAGATCAACATGTTAGTTCAGTTAAAGCATGGGTACTTGAAAAACTATCTCCAGAAACCATCACAAATCTTATTATGACATTTATGGTAAATACATATAATTATATTAAGAAATACATGATGATTTCTTAAGTTCTGAACCATGCTCACCACATTTAAGGTTCTAAATTCAACCTACCGTATTACTTTTTGTAATATAAATAAATTATAAAATATCCCTAGAACTAAAGGCTGACACACCATATCCTCTCGGAATGATTTTTTATACAATGATTTATTATTTAATTCTAATTTAAGACAACTATTACGGTGTCCTAATCAATGACAAGATATACTTAAAAACCATAGAGGACTTTCTAGTTTTTATATATTTAATTAAATTTTTGATTTTTAAAATGTCTATGTTAGGTTATCTTGTTTTTATTTTTATTATTAAGTACATTTTTCAAAGAAAAGAATTCAAAAGAATAGTATTTAGTTTATTAAACTATTAATGTATTCAAATTTAAAAGTGACAGAGACAATGACATTTTAGTACAAAAAAAAAAAATGATTCACTGAAAAATTTATACTTGTTGAAGTAGTCAAATTTTCATTATCTTTTTAATTAATGTTAAGTATTTGAACTGTATTTTTGTTTTTTTATGGTGTTAAATGTTAATTCAAAAATCTAAACCCAATATTATCTTGATAAAGTTTCTTCTTTAAAATAAAAAATAAAAAAAATGTTTTAAAAACCCTGCCATTTTATGAAGCGCAATTTTTTGTCTTTTAAAATAATTTATTTCATATTAGTTTTAATTCTTTGATTTGTATTGATGTCGTCATAATTAGATAACTAAAAATTGCTCGAATTGTTGTCCCTTTTTACATAGCCAACTTTGACATTCTTAAAAAGATGTTACATCTACATGTATTATTTTTGTCTTACAAACATATAACACAAGAAATTTTCTTTCAGTAGAACCGATTATGTTTTATATGTTTGTAAAATAGAGATAATATATGTGGGTGTAACATCCCCTTAAGGATGATAAAATAAAAAAAAAGATTAATGATTTATTGTGTATTCAAATATTTTATAGATAAGTAATAAAGATAATATTCTTATTAAAAAAACCACCTTTATATTGCCATAAAACAATATTTTAAGATAATGAAAATATAAGGATTTGAGAATATGGTATTTTTGTACATCTAAAATTTAATTAAATAAGAATTTGAATGCATGATTTAATCATAAACAGAGAATGGGTAGTCCTAATTAAAATATTTCTTCTGTTTTATATTTTTCTAAGAGTTTTTATCTTTTAATTTACAGCCTAAATTACCATCAAAAATGCCTTCAGCTTTTGTTACAAATTATACTCCAATAGCTGCAGCTGGTACCGATAGCCACATTAAACATGTAGCAAAATTATTAGCTACTTTAATATGTGGATCAGATATTGTTATTCCTGATCTGAAGTATATAACTCAAAATGATGACGAATCTTTAGAAGGAGTAAAAGAAGATATAATAAAAATGGAGGAAGAAGATATACTTTTAGCTCAACCTGCAGAATTAAATATGAATAACTGTCAAATTGATCCTATTGAAGCTGAAGAACTAGCTATTGATGCTTTACTTAGAGTTTTAGATACTAGTAAAATTATTTTGTCAAAACAGTTTAAAGAAGTACACATTAAAGCTATAACTAAAGTAGCAGTTATGTGTAGTGATGATTTTCGCAACAGTAAGTAATACTTATCAATGTATTCCATTAAACAAATAATTACACAGCCAGTCTACATATTTATTTATTTATTGTTTAGCTATACTCGACTATATAAATTTGGATATGCCTAAAAATATGAATTTATGCTTATCATGGCTATATGAAGAGTATAGTGTAAATCAAGGATTTATTAAACTGCCAACAGCATTCAGAAATACATTAACATCAGAACAAAATTACAATACTGTATTATGTGCATTAATCAGAGGTGCATTAAATATTGTAGATCTTAAAGAAAAAGAAGAGTAAATTGGATTTTTAATTAATATAACATTTTGAGATAAACTTTTGATTATAATTTTGTGATATATTTATAGCGCTATAACTACTTTTTATTTTGAAAGTCCATTAATTACTGATGATGCTGTTGATATTTTGAAAGAAATTTGTGGTGATCATGCATTTGGTCTATTCATTCTTAATGAATTGGTTACTAAACGCCCGCCAAGACAATTAGTGTATTTAAATGCACTTCTTTTCTTCACTTCACATAAGAATGATAAAGTAATGTATTAGAATACATAAAATATTTAATTAAATGCTGATATAAAATATTATAACAAAAAATCGATAAAATATTTTTTTCTGATTGTTTTAAATCACTTTAATTTTTTTTTAATACAATTAACTTAAGACTTTAAAAATATAGTGATTTTTGTCTGTATTGATCATTAAATACTATTATAGAAAATAGGTAGGTATTATTTATATTACAGGGTAGTGTAATTACCACAGATAAACAAATTTTTTGCATAACAACATTTTTATATTAGAAATCAATAACTTGACAAAAATATTTTCAACTTTTGATTTTAAATCCTCTGACTATGACAGTACATTATCAATCAAGAAAACTGCTTTCAGGGGTAAATTATGAGATTTGAGATGTACTTTAACTTTTGGAAAACTAATTCACTACTGATTATTTTAGTATGAATATACATAATTCTTTTAACTTTATGGAAGATAACGTGTACTCAAATTAACTATGTAATATATATGTTTAATTTGTTTAATATAAATTTTAAGTTATAAACAACTATATATTATTTAGCATTTATTTTACTTCCAGCTATTTATATTTTAATATAAATACTTATAAGTTATAAGAGAAAAAACTTAATATTTTTTAGAATCTTAATTAATGAATTGAATTGTGTTGAATATTTTTAGCTTCGAGAGATCGCATTGAATTTTATCAGTAAATTATACAAAAATAAAGATTTGAAAAATATTATTGAAGAATATGCTACTTTTTACTTGGGATTCTTAAGATTACAATTGCCCCCTGATGTACTTTTTGGCCAAGAAACAGGCCGATTGGTCAAATCTGAAGTGTGGGATGAAGATTCAACTACAGCTTGCTTATATCTGTATTTCATGTTAATGGCTGATAACTATGAACTAATCCACGAGTACGATTTTTATACTTAATATTTAATTTATGCTAGTATACATGATAATATATTTTATAATACATTAGATTAGCAGCTGTATTTTCCAACTCTCAAGGAGAAGTAAAACGTTCAATAATAAAACTTTTACCACACCCTATTCAAAATATGCCAATGAATTCAGCTGAAATGTTTAGACTTCTTGAAGAAATACCAAAAGGGTCTGAAGCAATGATAACCCGAGTGTTGCATACTATTACTGAAAAAGGTGAGTGGTTTAATTTTTATTTTTAAGCACACACTACAAAATAATGTGTTATAAAACAATTTACATAAATGGGTTTTTGGTTTTTAATATTGTGATTTATAAAAATTATAAAAACTAAATTGCTGGATTATTTGATCTATTGACTACTTGGTAATAGGTACTCTTTAAAACATTTAACTAATTATATCATATCCAATTTATAATTATTAATCATTACTTAATATTACTTGTAAATTTTCATAAGGATATTGATAGCAACATCATCTAGTAATATGTTATAATAAATTGTATGTACAATAATACACTTAATTCGTCTTAATTTAGTTCAATGTTTTTATCAGCTCTAAGGAGAAATAATGATCACTGACAGAAATTGAGTTTAATTATTAGGTAGGAGACTTGGTTTTTTGTTATTTTAAAGCTGTGTTTCTTGTTTCCATCATGCTATGTCATGTTGAATTGAACATAGTTTAACTTATAAGTTGTAAGAAACATCTTACCTATTTATGTATTAAATTTAAGAAGCACAGAAACATGGAACATGGAATGGTAATGTAACCTGCCTTTAAATGCTTTGATCTTAGTAATCTTATAGTGCATTTCACAACAAATGTCTATTGGTACTAACGCGCCAATTGTTGATTTTAACTCAAACCAGAGGTTCACAGTTAGGTCTGGAAAATAAATAGTTATGTTTTTTTTAATATGATAATATATCAAGCGGTTCCACATTTTGTGTATCTGTAATGAAAAATCGCCACCCGGCGCGTTAGTATCGAGGGACATTAGTTGTAAAAAACTAAAAACGTACTATAGTCTCAAAAATAGTGAACACTAAACATTATAATTTTGATACAAATATGCAACTTAAAACGTAAATAATATCATAGGTAAATGCCAATTGATAATAATATTACGTCCTATTTTTAGTTTAAATTTAGTCATATTTTTTAGATTAAAATGATACTCATAGTTTTTTTAGAACAATTTATTATTATTAAATTATTGTGGTTGTATAATTTTATACTAGATAGCGCTTATAAAACTATTCTGTTAACATTTCTTGGTTAACGTTATTTAATTTTTGTTGTTACTTTTTGGTTTTTCCATGTACCTACTATCAGTATTGTACTATTATTTATTTTGATTTTTGAAAAGTAAAGTAAATTAATTATCGAATACTAAATTTATTCTTTAACAATTCTTGTTTAAATTTAAATATAAACTACATTGACATAGTTGACTGATACTATGTATTCATCAAGTGAAGAAGAATTAGTGTCAACAAAAATTGATGGCTGGTTAACAGAAGAAAACCGTCGTCCTTGTCCATCCGAATTGTATCATTTTAACTGTCCGTACACTTTACACGAGACTGATCAATTTCGATTTATGAATCAACTTTGGACTGTAGGTGATATTGTGTCTGTAAATGATCCAAGATCAAACAAAACCATTTACGCACAAATTATTAAGCTATATGGAAATGAATTATGTGAAAAACGAGCAAAAATCATGTGGTTGGTACCTAAAGCTAACACTAAGGTCACAGATGAATCAAAAAAGGTGCATTATGACACTTTCAAACCTAGTGAATTTGTACACATTTCTATCGATAGCAGATTAGTACCCATACATGTCCTAAACTTTGTTATGAATGTTCCAAACTTATTTGAGTATAAAGAACATATTGGTACCAATTACTTGGTCAATACAAATATTTTATCACATGCAGAAAGATATGCAGAATCTGATGAAGACGATGAACCAAAATCCAAAAGTAAAGTCAGGCGACTACTTAACAAGTGAATTAAATGTATGATATATTGTAAACCAAAATTATCATTGTTAAATGTATTCCTATTTAAATGTATTTATTTTTAATATTTTTAAACAATGTACCTAATAATTTTAATCTAAGTTGACAGAATAAAATGTTTTATGCTACTAATATTATCGATACTAAAGGTACTTAATTTCATATTATTAACGAACCTTTTTTTTTTTCATTAGTAATTCAACTCTATTATTGTATACATTTCTATAACTATATATTTTAAAATTTGATTGAAATATATTAATTAAAAACAAATTTTTAGTATATAGTACCTATAATATGTATTTTGTAATTGTGTATTATTATTTTGTATATTTATAAATTAGTCTTATAACATATATTGTACGGTGTGGCGACATGTAAAATAAATAATATAATCAATAATGCAAGCAATGTGAGGCCAGTACAAATATCGCTGAACATTTTATTATTTAATTTAATCATTTAAATATTTTCACACGTCACTCACTTCTTAGAAAGGCTAGAGCTGGGATAGAAAGACGAGATGACAAGAATACAAATCTTATTGCAAAACCCCTAGTATGAACAGAGTCGCCACCACCTTGATCACCATTTTAGACTCGGATTGTAACACCGCTCACTAATCTTAAAAACATTATACTTTTGTATCTAAATTGACATTAAATAAAGATTTTTCTACGTTTAATATGTTACATGTTTGTTTCTGCATTGATGCATGAATCGACCAAGTCGGGACACAACAGTTTATACCTTTGTTGTTTGTTTGGAAATTTAATAAATTTACATTTTTGATTATTAATAATATTTCAGTCTTACGTATAAATTTAATTTTCATATTATTATTATAATAAATATATTTACTGTGTTTAAAAAATATAATGTTTTCATTATTTTTATCAATAGGTATTGTAAAAAATACTATAATATGTAGGTACTTATAAATACTATATAAAGTAGCAATAAAGTATAATAATACTTATATAATATTAGTTTATGTATAATATTCTAATGTATTCTAATTTGAAACTTGTTGAATAATACAACATTAAATAAATATATTATATGATATGATTAAAAAGCCTTTCTTTGATCTTGGTAATTTTTTATTAATCAGTGTAATTAAGTGTATTTTCTTAATTTGGCTAACTGGTTGACATCATAAAGCATTACTCTTCCTGAAGCTGCCTAAATATTTTGAGGACGCTCTATTCAAACTTTTCTTTTGCTATGTATAATGTTTTTTTAATAATTTATGAATAAACGAATTTTATTTATAAAAAATATACATAAACATAATATAAAATATATTTTAATATATTTAGTTATTTTTAATACACTAAGTTTATCATAATTTTTGTTTAAGTATTTTATTATAATTTAATTTGAACTCAACTCATCTGCATTTAAGCTTTTGCTTATAGGATGAGTTGCAATTTTTGTATTTTATACAAGTTTTTTGTTATTGCAATAAACTATTATTATTATTATTATTATTATTATTATTATATCATGTATTTATATATTGGTTATCACTTATCTGTAATACTTAAATACTGCTTACTTTAAAATACAGTTGAACGCCACACTATTATAATATATAAATCTAAAAGACTAATTTAATATTAAATAATAATAATTAAACTTTTAGATATCAAATATTGTTATTAAATCTAATTATAACATATTACAAATATGTATTAAATTACTACTTAATATTTTATTTTTTTTTATTTTAGAAATTCCATCACCAGAGTTAGTATCAAGAGTTAAAAAATTATATGAAAATCAGATAGTTGAAGTACGTTTCTTGGTACCAATAATATCTGGTTTGGATAAGAAATATATTTTGAATGCTTTACCTCAACTAATAAAATTAAATCCAAATGTTGTAAAAGAGGTATGGTTTACAAATATATTTAGTTACAGAAATGTATTAATTGATTAATACAATTATGTTTTTTTAACTATAGGTTTTTAACAGAATTTTGGGCATTAACTATTCAAACTCAAATCCTCCAGTCAGTCCAGCTGAGCTTTTGATTGCATTACATACAATGGATTCAGATCCTAATGACCTAAAGTACATTATTAAAGGTAAAATTATAATTAATAACAATTAAAAACTTTTTATGATTATTAAAAGTATTATTATATTTTCTAATATATATTACCATTCTATTTTGATAGCTACATCATTGTGTTTTGCTGAAAAATCAATATTCACGCAAGAGATATTGGCTATTGTCATGCAGAATTTAATGGATGTAAATCCATTACCAACTTTATTGATGCGTACAGTTATACAGTCTCTTACAACTTATCCACGTTTGATTGCTTTTATAATGAATATACTCCAGAGACTTATACTAAAAAAAGTGTGGCACCAAAAGACACAATGGGAGGGTTTCATAAAGTGTTGTCAGAAGACAAAACCTAATAGTTTTCAGGTGTTACTACAATTGCCACCAGAGCAGCTAGAAGATGTTTTATTTCAATGTCCAGAAATGAGAAAATCATTATTAGATCATGTACTTAGTTTTACCGAAGTACAAGTAAGAGTTAATCAATTAATTAAAAATTGATTTTTAAGGTTAAAATTATTTTTCATTTTTTAAGCGTTTACACATTCGTCAAGCAATTATGGATGTTATATTTGGAAAAAAAATGGAAGTACCAATGTATCAAAATTTAAAAGTGAAATGTGAACCTGTAAGCAATACAAATAATCAACATGTTATAATGTCTGTAAGTAAATTAAAATAATTTATTTAGATAGGTACTCATCTAGTTATCGTCAAAGTTTAATAATATAGGTTAGAAAATTGGAATACCATGTAATCTGTAGGTAAATTGTTTTTAAGTATTTACAGTATTTACTTTAATATTTTTTTTGATAATGTAAATAATACACATTGACATGTATTATTTCCTATGATCATTTACATGTAGTTGAAATTAATTTATATTGTTACATTTTTAAGATTTGTTTTTTTTTTATATTCTTATAGAACCAAGAAAAACAATCCCCTGAAAATATATCTAATTTGAAAGAAGACGAGCTTAGGCCACCAGGTGATTGTGATGAAGACTCAATTAATGGAATATAGTTGTATTACTACTTAAAAACAATATTACTATGTCTCATTTATTTGTATATTTTTTTTTTTTTTTAAACGAATTTAATTAATTTAATCAAGTGTTATATTTACAATGTAATTAAATAAACTTTTAGTTTAATACATTTATTGATTTTTGTGTATTTATATATATATATATTTTTAAATTAAATACATCGTTCTATATAAAAAAAAAAATCAATAGCTCTTGTTTACTATACCCTAAATTGCTATAAGCTCCTTGGTAACAGTTTATGAAAACAAACAAAACATAATATACTCGTACTCTAGTAAGTTTTGATAAGTTGATAGGCTAGATGTTATAAGTTATTAAAACAAAATATAAACTATAAAAGTGATATTGTGAAATTTATTAGTTATATATGTATTAATAGAATACAAGAATGTCCAACAAAGTGTATGTAGCTAAGCTACCAAAAACCAGTTCAGAAATTATTAGTGAAGCGAAAGCAGCTTTGAATCCATCCCTTTTTGTAAAGCCACTGACAACAAATAGACCATTCACCCCTCGGGAAAGGGTTTTCTTCTGTCATCGACGAACAAATCGTCCACCAAGCGCTTTTAAGTATGTGAAAACTGTTTTGAACTTATAAACACAATGGTAATATTCATGAGGCTTATATGTATAATAGGTTGCAACAAGTGCAATTGCAGGAAAAGAAAACAACTAGTTGTACAAAACTACCAGCTCTTAATAATACAAAATATTCCACAGCCAGTAATTGTAAGAAACATTACAATTATTTTAAATATCTCATAGTTAACGTAATATGTTTTTTCTAATGTAGTAGATTATAAAAAAGAAATTAAAAGACAAACACAAAGCAGTTCTCCAAGCACAACACGTCGACGTTCTAATTCAGACGTGGCCAACAATGCAAACATATCAAGAAAAAAAATTTCATCGTTATCTTTTCCTCTGTCAATCGACACACTACTTAAGGTACCATTTTCTGATTTCATTTATAATATTGATACTATTGTTATATACTTATATATAAGTACCTTTATTCTTTTTATTTTTACCCTATGTATTATGGCAAAAGTACGAAAATCGGTGAAACCTAAGATACATGAAATAGTTTGATCAAATCACAAATGATTTTTGTAGTTCTGACTTTTACAAACCAGATTTGGTAAGCCTTTGGATTAACAATCAGTGTTGGCGAAAATCCGAAATTTTAACCAACTGTGTACTTCAATGGTATTTCAGTTTCTAAAATATTTATATTTTAAGTTATAATATTAAGTAGGATCTAGGAATTATTTACTATTGTAGTTACTTTATAACTATTTATCATTTATAAATGTATTATTATTATTATCTTTTGATTAGGTATAATAATTTACAAAAAAAAAAGTAATATTAAAAATGAAAAAAATGTTTGTTTTGGAAATAAAAAATATTTATTTATAGAATTCACCATGTTTTTTTAGGTACCTATAGATTAAAAAACAGATTTTAGTTAAAAATTTGAATTAATTAAGAGTTAGATTTTTGATTAGTTTTAAGCTTGATATGAGATTATGACCTATGAAAACATTAAACAACTATTACTAAGTTTCCGATCATCTACAGTTCTCTGTCTTCCCATTGTTACACCACATTATCTGTTACCTATAATATATAACCTAATACTCGTATTTAATTATTAATATGAATAAGTATTAAATTACATCACTCAAAATTATTTTTTATGTGTATTTTAAAATGTTAACAATCAAAAAAGCATCTTCAATCGAATAAAAATATTAATTTTAATTTCTATTTTCTATACATAAATTATACTAAAAATAGGTTTTAGTTTAGAAAAAAATATTTATTAATAAACCTACATTTTACTTAAGAGTTGATCAAGCACTTTAAGGCAGTGAACTATACTCAAATCAATCAAAAAGATATTTTGAGTCCAACAATG